CTCGAACAGGCGGCAGCAGGGGCAGAAAAAATTAAAATAAGGGAAAAAAATTGCTTTCATAGAAACATTATTCACCTTCTTGGCTTCTTCTTCAGTTCTTTTTCTGCTGGAGCTCGAACCTCGAAGTGTCGAACAAAGCTTAAAGCTCGAACAGCCTTATAGCGGAGATCGGACAGAATATAGATAAACCGATGGAATAAGAGGCGGAGAGGGGCGGACTGGAGGCCGGAGGCGGGCCAGGCGGTGACGGGAGAACTAGCGGCGGACTGGAGAACAATTGAAGGGAACGGGCAGAGGGCGATTGGCCAACGAAGAGGGGGAGAAGATTGAAAAATGAGATTTTGCCCAATTCCAATTGAACGAGAACTGAAGAAGGGATGTTTCAATCTTGGGCTGCTGGGCTTGGACGTGGGTCACATTTAAAAAAAAAATTGGCCCAAAAAAAAATTTCTGGCCCAAAATCTCAGTGCGGGCATTTGCCTGCACTGGGCCTAATGGGCCTCCGCCTCTGCCTCAATCTCAAGTCAGGATTGCAAGAACCCCCTCCGGTATTCAGCAGCTGCTTGGTACAATCGAATACGTATACTTCAGAACCACTTGTCTTAGCAGCAACCAAAGCTTGGTCTTGTGGCATACACCGAGCTCTATTCACTTCCCCATCAACATGTATTTTCTGAACAATCTCTACCTGCATTTACATAATAGAGTCAGAAAAAATGCTCCCCAAGCGGAAACTGATACGCATCATGCATGTTAAATTTTAATTGTATATTTATAGGTAGCCAATTGAGCTCTGCACCTCTTAAAATGTAATGATATAAAAAAAATGGAGTGGCCGAGCTAAACGATGATATTAGGTGCTCTTCCCAATGAACGAGAAGATTTAACTACAAAAATATGCTCCCCAAAAAAATATGACCTTGCACTACATCCTAAACCACCTCACCAATAGAAGAAAAAATGCATACCCTTCCAACCCAAGAGTCTCAATCATACCTAAACCAACACATCAACAAAATAAATAGCCTAAAATGCATTGGACCTCCTGATAGTCAGGGCATTGAAGCGAACCTAAGATGCATATATATAAAGCTCAGCATAGGCAGGAGTCACAACTGCTAATAAATAATAAAAGACTGGAATTTCTCAGCATTAGAAGCTCATCATATTTCCTTTGCCGCCAACCCATGATCACAAGAAAACCTTGACAAAAAAGAAACTCAATTTCATTCGAATATGTCATCAAACAATTAATGCTGATGCATGCAAGCACTATAAACATTACCGTACGCACAAATGAACATATAATAATGAGCGTGTTGAGGAAAATAATTAATGACCTTAGGGATGTTGGTATTATCGGATTCAATTTCGATGGTACCGCGAGGGACGTGGGCGTGCGCGACCATGAGGAAATTCGGAGATTCATCAGAGGTATGGGTCCCCAGTATCAGTTTGTGTACAGCGAGAGGACCCTCATCGGACAGTGGTAATGGGAGCCACTAGACGGTGAGAGATGGCCACTCGAGCGCGTGGCAGACCACGAGGTCATACAGTAATGGTGTGTTCTTCTTCCACACAGAAAACTCCTCCTCCACCATCTCCTCGACTCCTTCATTAGCCATTTTTGTCTTTATCGATTTCTCTATCAGGCAGTGACGATGTAATGCGGAGAGTGAGCAGCTGATGCTTAAATGGGGGTTTCGTCTTCCCTCCAAAATGATAGAACACGAGGGAATAATGGGAAGAAGAAGAACTGAAGAAGAGTTTATAGGCCGGGCCTAATGAATATGTTTGGCATGGATCAATTCAGGTGCTTAGAGTTGAAAATGAAACGAAATAAATTAAGCCCACAATTATTATTTGGATAAAATGGAGTATTGAATGGTGATTTCTTGAATAATATATAACTAATAAGTAGGAAAAAATTTTGAGTTTACATGTTGAATATTATATTATGTAAATGTGGTTGAAAATGAGGATGTCAAAAAAAGAATTTTGATATCATAATTGTGTTTGTACTATCAAAAAATTGCATGGTTACTCCTCAACTTATGACATTTGTAGCGATTTGTTATCAATTCTATTTTTGTTACAGCATCATTTTAGTCTTTCAAATTTGTAGCATCACTGGTCTGTTAAAAGTAGTGGCGGAGCCAGCACCCAACGAGTATCTACGATCGCCGTGTAGGCTCCGTAGTAAATTTTTTTTGCCATTATAAAAAGAGGCTGAACTATAATAGAAGGCACCAAGAGAGTCGGTTATGAAGCCTAGGCTAGAAGGTGCACTGACGCAGGGTGTGGAACAGCAGCTGTCGATTTTATCAAAAAATTCGTCGGTATCGATAGAGAGATTTTGAAGCCTTTGCACCATTTTTTTCTTTGTGAAAAATGGCTTGAATGTGGGAATTTATATCACTGTTGCCATTAGTGACATTTCATTCACTTTTATGAGGGAGACACGTCACCGATGATGAAATTATTTAGATAAAGGTCACTCAAATTTCACTCTGATTGTCACTTAACGTCAATTGGAAGCAATGAACTCACTAAACTTTAATTTAGAAGCAAACAAGTAACTCTAAAATTAGTTGATATGTCCTTGCCAATTAAGGAAATGTCAATGTATTCATCCCATTCAAGAGAATAATAACACCGAAGGTAAGTGAACTTCAATTTGGAGCATTGAAGTCATAAATTATGCAATCCCGCCTCAATTGCTATGATACTTAAGAGCTGTCTGATGCAAATTAAAATCAGCAAGGAATTGATTTTATTACCGTTTATTTTTAAAAAATGGGACCCACTCTCTCACAACTGGGTGAACAATTACGACCATAACGTTCCAAATTCTGATTAATAGTGTTTCCAGACAAGACCTTATTATATCCTTACCATATAAACATTCATTTTGGCCCTTATTAATTTAAGTAAAACACCAACAAGTGGAAAGTAATGAGATTCAATATAATTTTTTAAATAAAATCGTAGTAAAAACAACTCAGTTTCAAATGAATAAACAAAAAATCATTTTATCTGACACTATAGAAAAAATCGAACATAAGATACCCAACTGGAATACAAATATACCAAAACAATGATCCCTCAATATAGTTTCTTTAGAAGGCCAAAACCTATAAAATAAAATATGATGTAATAAATGGGATTCATAAAGAGATTTGAGATTTTATTAGATGCACGAAAAAAAAAAAAAACTTGACATGGAGCCTAGATAGAACGTTGATACAAGTGAAGTAAGCAATTGATCCAGTTAAAGTATACTGACTTTATTGCTCCAGGCTGAAGTTTAGTGATTCAATCGCAACTAGGGTGAAAAGATCATTGACTCGATTTCAACATAGGCGGAAGTTCAGTGACCTCTAATGTTATTAATTTAATGACCAAGATGGAAGTATTAGCAGAATCCAAATGAAGTGGCTTGATCACTTCAAAAGCAAAGTTTAATAGCGTAATTGCTTCAAATTGAGGTTAAAAGAATCCGATTGCAATTAAGAAAAATGTTAAATGATCTTCAATGTAACTAATCTATTATTTCTTTACAACACGATGTATCACTTATTTCCTATTGCGGTCATTGACAATCAACGGTCAACCGCCGCCTTATCTCACTCGAGATCTTGGATCCGCCACTAGTTAAGAGATCATTCTTTCGTTGAATGAAGGTGGAGGCACTCATCAAGAATTGGTGGTGACCAGGACGACACTCAAATATCGCTAAAACTTGAAATACTAATTTTGAAATATAAAGGCCAGCGAGTAGCGACATTGTAAGAACATAAAATAGTTCCGGAGTTGATACATGCCACCTTTTCACTCAAGTTAGGCCTTAACGACCATATTTGATAATTCTAATGTGTTTAAATCGAGTAATGTTATTTAGCCCTTTGTAATGTATTAAGGAGTTGTCAGTGTAGCAGTGACCTCAATGAGACATTGACGCAGCTTAACTAAATAATATTATTTGTTTTTGATTATACAGTTTAACGCTTATTTCACAATATTTAATGCACGACGGAAAATTTTGGCCCAGACAAAGCCTGGTTGTCCAGTAGACAGCAATCTTGAATCTTGATTAATTCTCTAATTTGTTTCAATAGTAATTGAATAAAAATAAATCTTATATCGTAATCAAAATTATTCTCAAATTTGTTCTATTAGGATTAGTTCTATGTCAACTTTCCCTCAACTAAGCAAACTGATGTGAATCGAAATTTCTTGTCACCCCTTGTTTGTACCCATTGTTTTCCGAAAAACCTCGGAAATAATGTTTTGGTATTGACTTATTTATTAAATTTACCTAATTATTCCTCCAACAAACAGATTTATTTGACTAACAAAGTCCAGTTTGGGGAGGTTCTTTTTACTGCACCTATATAAAAGGGGATAAGTGTGGTTGAAACATGTATCAAGAGTAATAAAGATAATAACATTATGTTATAAACAGAGAGACAACACATTGTTCACTTGGTCATGGATTCAAGGATGATGGAAGAGTTTATTCTGGGATTTTTCATTGCTTCTCTTTTCAGGTTTATCGTGTTATACAGATTGTTTGGAAAAAGGCCACAAAAAGCTGCGATTGAGGCGCAGACAGGTCCCAGTAGTCATAAAAGTTCTGAAAATTCTGTATCCCAGAAAGATGGAGGAACAGATGTTGTCATTGTTGGAGCCGGTGTAGCCGATTCTGCATTGGCTTACTCTCTGGCCAAGGGATCTTGAAGAATTCAATTTTATGTAATCTGTTACATTGGACATAACTCGACTAGCGTCCTGTTTCTTGCCACTTGATTTTTTCATATCCGTGTTCCTGTGCGTGTGTTATATATCTTTTGTATCCAATCATAGGATGGGCGCCGAGTACATGTGATTGAGAGGGACTTAACCCAACCTGATAGAATTGTTGGTGAGTTACTACAACCAGGAGGCTACCTCAAATTAGTCGAGTTGGGAATGGAGGGTGAGTCCTATATTTTCATGCATTAATCTTTCATTTAGACGCTGATTTTAACTCGCAAGTGAATATATATTGTGACAGATTGTGTAATTGGGATTGATTCTCAGAAAGTGTATGGTTATGCACTTTACATAGAAGGGAAATATGCTAGACTGTCCTATCCTTTGGAAGAATTCAATTCAGATGTTTCCGGTAGAAGCTTTCATCACGGGAGATTCATCCAAAGGTTGCGCGAAAAGGCTGCATCTCTTCCAAAGTATAGTCTGCTTTTTCCCTACCAAATTCTAAAATGTTCCTTTTTTTTTTTACAGATAAAATTTTGAATCTGTACACCACTTCAAGTTAAGATTCTAATTCTTGATTTCTTTTGCAGTGTCAAAATGGAACAAGGAACTGTAACATCTTTGGTTGAAGAAAATGGTACTGTTATAGGAGTTAAATTCAAGACTAAAGAGGGTCTAGAAAATACAGCTAAAGCTCCACTAACAATCGTATGCGATGGTTGCTTTTCAAACTTGATGTGCGTACCCCAGGTAATTAGGCCCGAAAACTTACACTAACTGTTTCAACTAATTTTTACTTAATTTGCCATTTTTTCATTATTTGGCAGGTCGATATTATGTCTCATTTTGTTGGTATGGTCGTGGTCCTGGAGAACAGCCGGCTCCCTTATCCCAATCATGGACATGTTATATTGGCTAACCCTTCACCTATTTTGTTCTATCCTGTCAGTAGCACCGAAGTACGTTGTTTGGTTGATATTCCCGGTCAAAAATTACCTTCAATTTCTAATGGAGACATGGCCAATTATTTGAAAACCAAGGTGTCTAATCAGGTATTAAAACCTCAATCATTAGAATTGGAAATGGTTAGGAATCATTCAGTATGCTGAATGATATTCTTGTACTTTTGTTTATTAGCTTCCGCCTGAACTTCGGGATGCATTCATCAATACAGTCGAGAAAGGAGATATTAGAACTATGCCAAACAGAAGTATGCCGGCAGCTCCAGTTCCCACTCCAGGTGCAATTTTGCTGGGAGATGCGTTCAACATGCGACACCCTTTGACTGGCGGAGGAATGACTGTTGCACTATCTGATGTGGTGGTCCTCCGGGATCTACTTCGACATGTACAAGATTTCAGCAATGCAGCGGCGCTCACCAATCATCTTGAATCCTTTTACACCCTCCGCAAGGTTAGCCTCATTTCTGCACTCGTATGATAGGGGATTGGGCTACTCCACTTACTAAGTTAACAAATTTTGAGATGGAACCCGAGAAATTTTTGAATTAGATTACTAATATGGCTACGATTTTGGTTTGCAGCCAGTGGCTTCTACAATAAACACATTAGCAGGTGCCTTATACAAGGTATTCTGTCCTGCACCAGATCAAGCCAGCAGAGAAATACGAGGAGTGTTTTGATTATTTGAGCCTTGGAGGCATTTACTCACAAGGACCAATTGCCCTCCTATCTGGCTTGAACCCAAGGCCTATGAGCTTGGTTGCTCACTTCTTTGTCGTGGCCATATATGGTGTAGGTTGTTTGCTGCTACCATTTCCTTCACCCAAGCGTGTGTTACTTGGAGCTAGATTGCTCTCGATAGGTAACTCTTTTTATATATGTACTCATGTTTTCTAATAAAAAGGCAACTGTAATTAGATGAGCGTGATCAATTTTTAACACAGATTAAAAGAGTGTATAATTTCTTGGTGCAGAGTGCATATGGCATCATATTTCCCATCGTGAAGTCGGAAGGAGTACGACAAATGTTCTTCCCCATCACTATTTCATCCTACAATAGGGGTGCCTCTATTGTAATGAAGAGTGCAATGTTCGACATGCTTGGATAGAACTTGTGCTTCCAAAAATCTCGATATTATGAAAAGAAATCGAAAGCAAATGAAGACAACCCTCCAGGGAAAAATATCTTCCAAGAAGAAAATGATTCTTTATTTTGTTGTACTGTATATTTCTTCAAATATAGAAGTTATTAATGTTAAACAATTCAAAAAAAAAAAGAAAAAAATGATAGGGTTTTATTGATTCTACATAATGTAATTGAATAATGAAAACTTAGATAAGACTATATATAGTCTAAAATAAAGAAAACTTAAAAGACTATTCTACCCTTAATAAATAATAAAAGCAAAATAATCATATATTTCTTAACAATTAACATTCTTGTTTCACGTCATCGTGTTCCCTTTCGTTAGTATAAAATTGTAAGTCGGGCATGACAATTCTTTGCGTTAAAGTGTAATGTTAGCATTAAAACGAGCAAAAGCGATTCTCAACCGATAAAGTTGAACTTTTTGAAGAAAACCACAACTTTATATATAGCTAAAAGAATCTCATTAATTTTGATGGGAATAACAAAAAACAATTTCAACGTTACATGACAAAATTTCATTTGTATATCAAAACAGAAGTGTCACACTTTGAGCAAACATACTGTGTCTATTTTTTTAAATTTGCAAACACAATCCATAAAGACATGGTAAATAAACAACTAGATATGCCTAACAAAGATCCCTACTTTATATCATACATGATGATACACTAAGATCACATGGCAACAAAAATAAACAACTAAATATGCTTAACAACGATCCCTACTTTATATCATACATGATGATACACTAAGATCACATGACAACACATGCAGTTGGATTTTCATCACTGAAAGCAGTGGTGTAACGAACTTCAGTCGAGCTCGCACGAGCAAGTTGTGAAACTTGAGGGTCCTGAACATTCCGCACGTACCCAGCAGGGGCTTTCTTATCATAGACACCAGGTGCATAAGGATGTTCAACAACATCATATGGGACGTAGGGCCACAGCTCGACCTTCTTGCCTGTGCGACGAGCCACACGAGCCACAACCTTCTCGGGATCTACATAGCCAATGACTGTAAGCTTGCTTTGCTTTGGCTCCACCTGAACCGAGGTCACACCTTTCATACCCTCGACTGACCGTCGCACCTTCCTCTCGCATCCTTCACAATCTATTTTCACTTTTATCTCCACTGTCTGGTAAGAAAGAAGAAAAAGGAATATTAATATCTTAGCAATATAAAAAAGTTTGCATATAAAGTTTTATGATTGAAATATACATCAAGATATCGAATCACTGATCTACTAACTAAATGTCCAAAATGCTTATGGAATTCGATCACAAATTCAAGATTTTTGAAATTGAACAAGTACCTACCAAGGTAAAGTGGTTCGTATATTATGCGCAGCGTGGACCACCTAATGTAGAGTAAGCAAAAGGGTGACTCTTGCCAAATTAACATTCATGATTGATGCACATTATTGGGGCAATAAAACATACGACGCACTTTTATGCTCGATCAGTCACAACTTGTTCATGGTGTAGGATTGCCACTTTTCTAGCATGTACGCGTTTTCATGCTCATTTTTTGGGAGGTCAAAGTTTGTGCACTAAATGGGCTACTATATACAGATAAAAATTGTCAACTATTTACATAACTAAGCCACACTAAGTAGCAAGGATTTCCTTCTTGATCAGTCTATTAAAAGGGGAGGTGGAGTACACAAAAGTTGTGGGACAATATGAAGAGAAGCCACACCTAACCATAGACTAGTTCTGGCTGGTATTATCTTTTATGAGCACCAAGAACAAGGATAACAAAACTAGCTCATACGAAGAGAGAAACAAAAGTAATCTCGACATGGAGAGAAAGGAATTAAGACCTCCAAATTGGAATTAGAACCATCTATAGTTGAAGGGCCTCTATAAAAAAAATATTGTCACATATTTTCTCTGTTCCTTTTCATTCAAATTTCTCCAATATCATCAAATTACTAATTAACAATTAAAACTATCCTACAAGATTGAGTGCAAATATATCCTTGGGGACAGCACAAAAAAGTGCAGTGCAATGTTGTACATTTTATGCTGGTGGAATGTAAAGTTTTTAGTCCATGCTATACTAGTTGAGCACATTATCATTAGGCTACCTTGTAACATGTTTTCTACTTTTTCCTGACAAATTGGCTTATAAATTGTGGGACCCATAATAGCGTTCATTTTAGTCCACACTGTTTGCAAATCCAATACTTATATGAAAGTTTCTTATTTGCCAAACATTGTTTAACAAGAGTCAACTTATAAGACGCATGGTGTGAACAATAAATGTACAGAACTCAAGTCTTATGGGCAAAATAGATAAGGATTTCCTTATTTTGTTTATAAGACGTAATTCCTACCATATATCACCAATAAGCATGGAACCCAGTTGGCTACTTATTTGCCCAACATACACTTTTTTTAATTAATTCAAAGTCAAGTTCATTTTTTTCCGACCTTCTCGATTAATTGTATAATATACACATGGATCCAAAGCAATTAAAAGACTCAACAATTACACCTTGATCAGTCTTAGTGCATGTTTAGAAAGTGTTTATAAACTGTTAATTTATAATTGATACAAATAAGAAGTGAATAAAAATGAGCCAAACATGGCTTTGATTTCTATGGTCAGCATAAATAAAAATGACTTTCAACAAAAGTTAAAAGGAAAATATAAGGGTTAAGAAAGAGGGGCTTGTGGAATAAATTAGCACTCTGATGCGCAGCGTATGGTGAGTTGTCAGGAGTAAGGTGTGAATTGTTGACTAATTACAAAACAACAATTTTTTTGCTGCATAGTAATTTTGTACAACTAATTTAGTTGCCAAACTAATTGTATAGTAAAACTCTTTTTCTGGAACATCTGCCCCAGATCTTTCTAGTATTTTTAGAAGGAAAAAACACTGACAATAATATAATTTCCAAGATGAATTATTAATAAAAAATCTACAGAGAGAGAGAGAGAGAGATCTAGCCTGCAGCTGTTTGCGTTTCTTGAGCTTGGAATGGCGAATGCTGGAGCAATCAATGATGTTAGAGAGATGATCCAAAGCACCCATTTCTTCTATGTAACCTTAAATTCTTATGATGTTTTTCTGTCCGAAAAGATGCACTAAAATAATGCACAACCAAATAAATTTCTCGAGTAAAATAAAAGCAAGAATGATTTGAAAATTTGAATGGCCAGGCAAAGCTAAGAAATATCTCTGTCTATAGAGTCAGTGCTCATCTGTTTCATAGAATGAACTCCAATGGCTTCTTATAAATAGATAAGGGATGTGCTGATTTCTTGATTTAAATTGGGCCGTTAGATGTTTGTAACCGTCATTGAATAATGTATGGTCCACTTGGAGTTCTGTTATTGGAATTAAGCATTTAAGTGTATCTCTGCACCGACTGGGAGTGGGAAATGGATCTCCTTTGACGGATAAAGATATGGGAAATTAACTTCGGGTTGGATAAAGTGGGACCGGAATTCATTTCTTGGATTTGGATCGTGGCAGAAAGTCTCCGCCGTCCAGTCGCCGCCCATACGACAACTTTTCTTGGTGTTGGTAATTTCTAAAAAGAATTAATAATTACTTTGATTTCTATTCTGTTAATTTAAACCTTTCCTCCACTTCAGTAATTCAAGTGATCCTTTCTTCTTGGACCAGTGAAACTGTTGAGCCAATCTCTCACAAATGTCTCTAGAGCATTCTTCACAATAGATTTCTCTAAAATAAAAAAAATAGATAAAATAATCGAACTTTCTTAGATGAAACTACTTTATCTTAAATCATGCAAGCAACCATCTCTGTGTGTCACTCATGATCCCATGTTGATTATATTATGGTGCTCGAGTAAGCTGCTCTTCATGATTAGCGTTGAGAATTGAGCATAACAAGGATTCTATTGCTCAGTGCCTCTTAAGAAGACCACGTATGCCTTGTGTCTTTATTTTGATAATACTACGCACCACATAAATTACTATTATAAAATCTATTCCAAAAAAAAAATAAAAAAATCCCCTTAAATTCATCACTACCTGTCCTTAGGCCCATTAAATAATGGGAAAAGTACTAGTCAGTTTCAGAGGGAAAGAGGCCCTGAACCCTACTTTATGCGAACCAGATTCTTTAGGCCCAAATAGGAAACCCTACGTAACCAGACATTTTAAGCCCTTTCAAAAGGCCGCTCTTCTTAATTATGACTTTAAGTTTCAAACCCCCGTGGACTCCGGCCCAAAATGATTCCAGTCATACAATTCGGCCTTTTCGAGGGGAGAAAGAAGAAAACAAAGGAGATTTACATAAATAGGGAAAAAAAACAGGGAGGTCGACCACCAAAAGAAACCCACATCTGAGAGAAGAGGCCGAGTTATGCCCAAAGAAAATTGAGGATTCGGTATAAAGTCTATCAAATAGCTCTGATATCATGACAAACAATTGGTTGAATGATTTTTCCAATGAGATTTCTTGCATTATATAGGAATAAGTCCTGTTTGAGCCTCATTCTTATTTTTATTCGCATTCTTCTATTCATTTTCAAACGCACATTTTTCAATAAAATAATATTTTTCATTACATTAATAACTTTCCCTTCTTTTTCGACCACATATTCACCATCACATCACAAAAGAAAATGTATTTTTTCCATTTTAATGTGCATCAAACACACTCTAAGTATTAATCTAAATATGGTAAGTATAATTACAACCTATATATAATTACATTGAATTGAAAAATATTGATTTTTGTTAATTATTTAAAAATGAAAACTACGTATTTCGTATGGGGTATTTTGGGTTATATAATCTCATGGCACATTGGCAAAATTATTTAGCCGAGCTGGATTTCGTAAATCAATGCTTATAGAAAAATATATAACTTACACTATGTTTTGTTTTATTACATAGTTTGTAATTTTTTTACGATGAAATTGGGACCCTGTATTTGATAAATTATAATGATGGTCACTTATATTCTTGCTACCTGTAATCTACACTCAAATATCTTCTAGAAGTTGTTGTTATCTTTACACTGGGCCTAAGTTCCCCGGAGAAAAACCATTGTATTGCAGTATGAAATATATATATATATATGGCTCTACAATCCAATCACAATATGGAGGTTTTTGCTCCTTATTTATTTAATTTTTAAAAACTGCGTTCTGAGTATTTTTCCATTTTTTCTTTTCAGATGTTCCATAAATATTCGTCGTGGTGGATAAGAAATTTCATCAACGTCTTAAAGGTCGAGTGAGTTGATAACAATATATGATATGAATTACGATAGTGATGATATTTACAATTGAAATCAGGGGGAAATGCGGTAATATACTTGGAGAAGTCGCTGTAGGCATGATTTACAAATAACACGCAATAAAGAAGTTCCGTGGAAAACCCCGGGATCGGACAAGGACAGCATGATAAAATATTCAAAGTAACAACGCTGCTAATCTTGTCAAATTTTATTATCACATTCCGCGTTGAAATGTCTACGCAGTATGAAAAGGATGGGAAAAAGTTACTTGTTTGCTTTCATCGCGAACGATAAAGAGAGAAATTAACTCAGCTTCTTAAAAATTAGGAAAAAGTTGAAGTTGGAAGAGATTGTTCATATTTGATATTACAGAATACACATTTTAGCAATTTTTTATGTAGACGAATTGATCACAAGAAGATCGAGACAAACAAGGGTCGGCAGAGTCGGAACTCTTAACCCATTTAACACTTGTAGATGGGCAAAAAAATTAAAAATAAAGAATCATCAGTCAAAGATGCATGTATAGTATATGCACACCGGAAAGCATTTATTTTCTTCTTTTAAAATTCAAAATATAAGTAGAAAAAGCTAATAGTAATAGTGTCCATTCCAATTTCCATTGACTGACTCCTGAGTTTTCACGTGACTTTCGTTTGAAGCACTCCAATGAAGTGAACTCAGGCGTCATTGTATGCATGCATGCATATAGTCACATTAACCTACTTTAGGGGATCGAATATGTTGTGAACCTTTAATTTGAGTCTTCTCTTCCTCGTGGGAGGACAAAATGACACCACCCGCACCCGCTTGATTTGAATTTTTGCAGTTAGGTCACACGATATTAGCTGGTAAATATCTATTTTTTAGTACAGAAGTGAGTGAATTATTATACTTCCTAGGGGGGGGTTTTGAGTATGTACCCTCAAGCATATAAAAAATCATATAAAAAATTGTGTGGTCTATGAAATGTGGGTTTAAAACTAATTGTTAACTTTGATTTAGATTAAAATCTTGATTTTAATGAATAACGAACAAGGGCCTAATTATTAACCTTTTTTTTTTTTTAATAATAATTATACCAACATCGTTTGAAGAAAAAAAAACAGTCCTTTTGAATAATTCAACTTCAGTTTTTTTTCCTCTTGACTAGTTACAAGATAAAGATTAATTGGACCGACGGACCATCTTCTTATACCATGAAAATTTTGGGAATTCCGCAAGAACTCAATCAAAATAAGTTGGTATTTGTATTTACGTAATGGAGCAATATTTCAAGTCAGTGAAAAAAGACAATGCACAATTGGTTGTCGATTTGTAAAGATGCAGCAGCACTGGGAAATTGTCAGATTTGGCTGATATATATGTATATTTCAAAGATAGTGATAATAATGTATAGTTTTCTGTTTATTAGTCAATTATGGATACACATGTCGAATGTCTATAAATTTGATGAAAGAATTCACATGGATTGCAGGAAAACCAGCCAAAGAGTGAAAGACTATTGGGACCTTGGTAGGTGGCAGGCAGGCAGCACATGGGACCCCATACGTTATGCATTTCTTCACTGCAGAAAATGGACCTTTGAGAAGACTTTGAGAAATAACCTGTATAAATCTTCTATAAATTTGTGAGTGTCCACGTTATATATGTTAGGTCATGACTCGTGAGATATATTCATACAGTGTGAATTGCTGGCTAGTTCATGTGCCTTGTAATGGAGGAGGATGCGCGGAAGGAACATACATGATGGCAACATCGCCCTATCATTTTTACAGATTTTTCTTTAAAGTTTAATTTCACGCAATTACCAATTCTCTTTTCTTTTCTAAACATGGCGTCATTCGTTATTTGCATCATTAATTCACCTCTAAAATTAGGAGTGTTTGTCTGGCTTGAATCTTAAGTGAAGGATAGATACAATACACAACCACCCTAAAATAACATGCACTAAAGTCTTACGTTACATATATAGGTCGAATTAATTGTACGATGCACTGCATGAAAAGGAAGTGCCTTTTGTCGTGTATAGATGTGATCAAGAAAATTCTAAGATGAAAAAGTAGCGTACACGAATATAAGTGGACGATGCATTTCAATAATAGGAAAACAAATGTATTTGCATCGTGTGACTACAAACAATTTTCAGTTAACGTACAAGACTATATAAAGAGGAAAAAATGAAAAATAATTGCAAATAAAACCTACCAGTCCATAACGAAAGCACAATTAATTTCGAAACCCTACCATAACCAAAAGAAGAAAAAGGAAAAAAGTAGTCCCCTCTATATTCAGAGATCCATTAATTTTGTCAAAGTTTATCCACTCTAGAGTGGATTATTATAACTTGATTCAAACCTATCTGATAAAGCTTTGATTATTATGTATCCACCAATCATGTGCCTACCACTCTGCATAGAGAGAACATTATTTGTATTTTATAAGTAAATAAAAAATAACTAATATGCCCCAAATTACCCAATTACGGGTAGAGTTGGTAGCAAAATCAACGGTTTAATATTTTTTGTTTTTGGTGTAAGGTTTGTTAATTTCCTCATATGACAATACCATACTTGCACCAAATCCATATTATGTACAAATTTCAGCAAGTAATGGTTGATTGTGACCGATTCATACTTACGGAAATTGAAAGGTCAAATCACTCTTAAGGGATAAAAGCATACATGGTAATTACGTGCCACTAACGTTGAAAGGGGTGCAAAATATTTAGGGAAAAGAGGAAATTGTGCTATCACTCTCCAATTTATTCTTCTTGTAGCAAGTTGATCTTTAACTTTACATTATCGGGCTTGTGGCGCTTCCTATTGTGGACACGATAACTCGATCTCTCTCAAAGTGACGATGTCCACACATAAGATTAGAAATAGATGGATAAGAGGTGGACATTAAAGGAACACTACCCTGAACAGAGTCAAGCTTACCTGAGGGTGGACCTACTTGAAGAGGACTAATAACTAGACTCGACTCTAGATGAGATTGGGAAAGATAGTAAGTTTAGTTTATGACATGATTGGTGAAGACATAAGAATGCATCAATTAGTATTTTTGCTCTTAAAGAAACAAAAAACTATCAAAAAGTAGTATTACAAGAAGTAGGAGGAATCTCATCATTTTTCACCAAACTAGTTTGCTGCTTCGGATAACAAATTGTTTGAGTCATAACTCATAATTAATTCACAAAGATTTGTGTCATTCAAATTTTCCTTTCGTGTCGTCCTTATGAAAACATCCTTCTTACCGAAGTTTTATCATTTTCAAAAGCAAAACATAACTTCTTATAGTTGAATTGAAGTAACTTTCATAGTCGGGGACAGATTGCACAATGATATAAAATGTTGGGATCAACTTGCTCTTAGAACATAGGTAAGTATAACAATGAAAATGTTAAAATTTTTGAAGATGAGAAATTTATCATTATGAGCGGTTGGAGTCCCCTTCATCAGCATTAACATATGACCTCAAACCCCACAATCACACCCCCACTTGGAATTCAATTTTCTCACTCAACAACGTTTCTGAAATGTCTGACCCAATAGTTCAGTCACAAAATCTGCATGTGTACATCCTTTTGCTTACCTCTTCCCATACATCTCTCTTTAATGTATCACAAGAATAGAGAAAGAAAATCAAGAATCCTAGGTTAGGCCCCCACCTCTTTATTTTCCTTTCCAGTCTTCAGTCTACTTTTAATTCTATCGATTCCAATATAAATAAAGATCTCTATTTTTACTCAGAACCAAAAACCAATTTACAAATCTCCACAATTCAAGAAGTAATCAAGTTCTTGTTTTCAAGCGAACCCCCACTTTGTTTGTGTTGAGTTTTTGTGTTAGGATAAAGTTTAGAAGAAGGACCGCAGGAATAGCGCTACTTTTTTCTTTTTTTTTTGTACATTTTCGTGTTTCTGCTGGTGGTTACAATTTTACAAATATAAATCTGTATTCAATGGCTATTCAAGCACAGCGCTATTTGGAAAATCTCGTATTTCCTTTGGGAGGGCCTCAGGATTTGGTGATGGACAATACTCGTGGATTGAATCAGTTATATTTTGAGTCTCAACAACAGTTTGATCAGTTACAGAATTTGGTTCAAAGAAACATCAACCATCATCAAACAATGGGTTTTTCTCAGAGCCTTGGTCCCCAGATAGAGAAACAGAGGGCTGAGATTGATCGGTTCATCCGTTTACAGGTTAGAAAGTAACAAAATCAGTTGTATTTGATCATTTTCTTTTTGTCATTCGGGATTTTCATGTATTGATTTTTGTTGATATAGAATGACAGGTTAAGAAGGGCTTTGCAAGAACAGAGAAAGCAACAAATTGCGTTTTTTGTCAAGAAATACGAACCAAAGATTCAGCTTTTACTCAAACAAAAGGATGAACAAGTATCCAAGGCTGTAAACAGAAAAATGGAGCTTGAAGATTTTCTTAGAAAAATGGAGATTGAGAATCAGACATGGCAGAGAATAGCAAAAGAAAACGAAGCGGCGATCCTATCGTTGAACAATACAATCCAACAGCTCAAAGAAAGTGCCTGTTTATCAGCCAATGAAATTGAAGATGCAGAATCGTACTGTAATGTGATCGATCACAAAAATGGTGAAGAAGAACCAAGAACGAGAACCATGATTTGCAGAAGCTGTGATATTCGGAATTCTTGCGTAATCATACTACCCTGTAGGCATCTTTGTTCTTGCAAAGATTGTGAAGTTTTTCTTGATTCATGTCCAGTATGTAAAATAGTAAAGAAAGCTAGCATACAGGCATTAATTTGATTCTCTCTCTCTCTCTCTCTCTCTCTCTCTCTTAATTATATTTTTGGAAAATGATGAAATTATAATTATTTTATCATGAAATAGGATTCATTTTCCATTGATGTAATTCCATCACCACCTGTCTGTCTATTCTTTCTTTTTTACCTTGTTTATAGGAGAATCTTTTTTTCATTTCTTGGCATTATAGCTTTTTACCTTGTTTGGATTTTTCGATCTTGTAGACTGATTTGATTATTCATCTGCTGCTAATTTTCAGACAACTGTCTGAACAAAGTAAACTATGGCACTGAAAGCATTTGAAAGTTACACGATAGTGACTAATTTGCATTATTTTACTACTGTAAATTTACATCTTGTTGCAGTGTAAACGAAGAACCTTCATCACTTGGTGGTTCTAGCCAGCCTTTTTTGATCCCACTTGTCATCCTGAAAATCTCCATGTCCCTTGATTTTCTTTTGGATGGTGTGCATGCACCATTTCTCAGTGTGTATTCATAATTAAAATGTGTATTAATCAAACTAGTCCAAGTCGAGTTTGCTACAACGTCCCACATCTCTTGAATACGTGGTTAAGCCCATCGCATAATTGCCAAATGTTTTGGTCCTGATCACAGACTTTTGAAAAGTCTAAAGTTACTCACACATAAAGCAGGAAGCTATTTCAAATGAGCTTGATGTGAAGTTTAGTGTCAATTACAATAAAACTTAGGTGTAGTAAAATTCAATTTTGGAACTGTCTATCTATTTGGATTAAAGCTTGTCCGGAAGGCTGAACACAGAGCATGCAATGTTGCTTATAGTACAATGAACATGGTCTTTCCTTGCAGTGCACGAATTGATTGTACCCCGTACAAGATGCTATTGCATTGTTTCTGCAGTTCTCCACAAAGATAATTCTTTTCACTTTTTTCAGTCTTGGAAAACTGAAATAATATTTTTAATTCCATTATAACGGACAAAGTTTCTCAGAATCCTCACCTTTATTATTCCACCCACTGCAAAAGTATTAACAAAAATAAAAGGCTGTTGCAATAAAAGGAAGGAACAAATCACAAGTAATTAATGCTTTGAAGGTAAAGAAAGTTATATTCTTTTGGAATATGTTCCTAGAGGGTGTTTGACACCCATTTTTTGGAGTATAGAATTTTTGGAATAGTGATTGATGAGAGAATGTGCGGTGGAAAAGTTATGAAAAGTTTTAGATATGTGTGTAATATTATTTTATTGGGAGAATGTGTGGTTGAAATGAAGAATAAGAAAAAAATGAGAATGAGTACCAAGCAGGGGCCTAATTTTGTAATAAAAGACAAGGTTCCTAATGGTCGTCCACCCGCTTGCTAGTTCTCAATCCAATCTTCAGTAACAAATGCTTTTGCCTACAAATTTTGTAGGCATAGCTTTTTTCCACCCGCTTTAACAATAAATTCACTCGTCGATTCCTAACAATAAATTTACTGACTACATGAAATCGAAAATGACTTCAATTTATTTTTTCAGTCTAAAGTAGACTTTATAACCAAATAAAATTGCTTGCTTTTAATAATAAATTTTTCTTCTAAATTTGAATGCTTTACTGGGCTTCAGCATTTCTCCGAGTCGTGTGAGCCCATTTCGTCCTTGTCCAGGCCCTGTATCTCTCCTTACAAAAGGCCCAAACCTAAATTGGAGTTAGTTTTAGGGAGGGGAAGAGTTCATAAATCAGGTATTAAGTTTCACAATTGCAAAAATCAGATATTAAATTTAAAAAATACAAAATTCAGATATTTAGTTAATTAATTAAAAATAATTATTATTTAAATATAATAAATTTACAATTATACAATTAATGGTCACCACAACTTATTTATTGGTCACATATTATTAAATTAATTGATCACCAATTATTTCGAGGTCACAAATCAAAATTTTTATACGTCACAATTTATTTCATTGGTCACAGATCAAAAAAAATTATAGTTCAGGTCACATATTTGCAAATTTGTTGGTCACAAATTATCGAATTTTAAGGTCACAGTTTAATGATTAGTCACAATAAACCAAATAGTTGGTCACATACACTAAACACCCCACCCCCGATTCCGATCAGCTACCAATACTTGGTCACAAACGTTATCCCACCACACCGCACCAGCAACACCACCGCACATACCACCACAAACAGGTCACACCAGCCCATCACTAGACTCACCACTACCGTTTGTATACTACTGGATCCACCATACCACACCACCATGACCATCTTCGACCGTATCCACCAACAAAAATTGCCGTCAACACATCCACCTACACAACCAACAAAAATCACCTAAAACCCCCAACAACACCAAAACCATCCCAAACCACCACTACCACCACCACAAGTAGTATCAACAGTTGATGAAATCGATGTGCGCAATGGCGCGAGAGTGCCACGCATAGTGTTTCTCACGGTTGCGATAGAGAGCCGTCGCCACCACCATTTTCACGCCCAGCGCCGCCAAGCCTCGCCGGAGAAAAGGCGGATCTGCAGCGGTGGTTTCTCGCCGGAGCATGGAGAAAGGAGAGGAGAAGATTGGGACAAGAGAGTGAAGAGAAAGAGACAAAGAGATTTGGGGTGTGTTTGATCTACATTATTTTGGAAGAATGTATTTTGGAATAGTAGATTGATGGAGAATGTGTGGTTGAAAAAGAAGGAAAAGTTATTGAAGTGATGGAAATTATTATTTTATTGAAAGATGTATGGTTGAAAATTATCCTTATAATCTTGAAAATTAATTAAGATGATAAAAGGGGGTCATCACCTTCCATGTTTACCATATTTTGGAAGAATGTATTTTGGAATAGTAGATTGATGGAGAATGTGTGGTTGAAAAAGAAGGAAAAGTTATTGGTGTGATGGAAAATATTATTTTATTGAAGAATGTGTGGTTAAAAATGAGTAGAAGAATGAGAATGAAAATTTTAATATGTACCAAACAGGGGCTTAGGTTTTAAATTGATTTTAGGATTTGGATGGGTAGATAGGGTAGGGGGTGTGTATATAAATTAATTTATAAAATTATTATTAATAATAAAATATTAATTTCTAATAATTAAATGAATATCTGATTTTTGTATAATGAAACTTTCAATCTGATTTTTGAATATTGATTTTGAAAAGTAGGATTTTGTGTAATTTTCCCTTGATTATTTGATTGAGTTGTTGGGTTGATTGGTTTAATTGGGCTGTGATTATTTGATTGGACTATTATTTAGTTGGGTTGTTAGCTGTAATTATTATCTTTATCATGTGAGGAGAATATTCAAATGTTCGTTTTAATTGGAAAAATTACTCTTCTTGGGAATTTCAATTTAAAGGTTTTCGTTTTTTGGTTGAGGAGAGAGACATAAGAGTGCAGATTGCTCGAGTGATGAGCTAGAATTTTTTATTCTTGAAGGAGGATCATCTTTGAGTTTTGGTGTAGGCTGTTTTGCAAGATTTCTTCCAACTGCAGCATCTTGGCCACCGATATATTGTTGAATTTTTGGTCGGTGCATCGGCCGTTAGAGCTTTTGTTGGAACACGAATTATGTGTTCGACTAAGTTCTCTTGAATGATAGGGCTCACTGTGTGTGGTCAGCACACTTCGTGAATTTCTTTTGGAAATTCATCTTGTGGTATGAGTTCTCTGGAGTGTTCTTGGAGTGGTTTTTGGCTGTTTTTGTACTCTTTGTTCTTGGGTCTCTCGTCGTCACTATTTTTCATAGATGGTTATTGTAATTTGGGTCTCTTCTTCGTGGGCACGAGCATTATCACCTTTTCCGATTTATGATTACAAATTGATACTTTTACCGGCATCTAGTTGAGGGGGATGGCGGTGGAATATAAGGAAGGCTATGTAAGTAAAGATACCATATTAATTAGGTTACTATTAATGAATATTGTGATTGATAACTACCATATTTAGTTGTGATTTTGGTTCTATTTAATGAAAGAACCTCTCACTTCGAGAGGCATCGAGTCTTTTTTAATATATTTGACAGGTTGCACGAATAAATTAGATGATTCACATTACACCTTTGTACTATTCCCACACTTGTTCAATGATATAGTCTAAATGAATGAGTGTCATGAACCCAATCCTCTCATTAACCTTAACAGAAAATGCTTGTGTCGCTGACGTGTGAGATTATATGCTCACAAACAATTATCATTAGGAGTTACTCATTATATCGTTGTCTGAGGTTGTCAAGATTTAAAACATTTTGTTTGTTGAATAACAGGTAAGTGTTCTGTAAGAGGTGAACTCGGGCCTGCATGTAATTCAGCTGGAATGATAGATCGTTATGTTCTTGGAATTGATCATCTTTATGCCAAACCCGTGTACAGAAATCTGAAGGTATTTTACTGTGTCGTGAATCATTGTAAATTTCTCATACCGTTCAACTCATCAGCACATAAACAGCAATTAACATGCAGGAATGCAATGTATCAAGCCATGGCCAAGTTCCAAGATAGCACCTTCATGGTGTCATGCACCTTTTGATCCTGAAGGTATTTTAAGGTAAGCAATATGCATATCTTTCTTTTTGTTCTCCCTCAGTTTCCCTGTGAACTTATTCAACTGAAATGCTTCAGGTAGTGATTTAAAGCCTGTTCTTTTAACCTTCGAATTTGCTGATTTTCTGCTACAAATTTATATCTGCTGAACCTTCTAGTTTACATTGTTCTGATAGTTCACTAACAACTGCTGTGACCTGTGAGCTGCATCATTGGACTTCAGTGTGGCTACATTCTTGTACAGTTGCAGGTGAGACACTGGAACAGTGGAACCCATAGCTGCTTTTATTACATGATCCATTGTGATGAAATGAGAGGTGAATATTCGCAAAGTAGTTGCTTGTTGATTTCCTCATTTTCTGTGACTTGCATTTGCTAAGCTCTTGACCAAAATAAGAGCATGTTTGGGATGTGTTTATAAATGGTTTAAATTACAAAAGGATAGAAATTAGTGTTGGATAAGTGCATAGTATTTGTCGGTCCCTCAAAATGTGTCGATAAAAAGTGAATTGAATATTTACAAACAGTTTATAAACACGAGCCAAGCATAGGCTGAGATCAAATGAAGCTGACATCACTGCTAGAAATTTGATTAATAAATTATGCACCTATTTAATGCCCGTTTAGAATTCATAGGCCAAGAAACATGTCCTGTTACTAGCAAAAGATTATTTATTTATGAAAAACATTGTTGTGGAGCTTTCACCGATAAATTCTTTTTCAGGAGCATAAAGAGCGGCTGCCTAGTGGTCCGTTTTCTCCTTTGCATTAATGGGTCTTAGTCTCTTTCTTAAAGTTTATGGATGTTCTATGTATCCATATAGAATTAAAAGGAATGTTTGACGGTCATTGCATTTGGTCAATGACTAGCAATCGTTGATACATACAGCTTACAATGTCAGCTAGGTGATACTTATAACTCCGGGTTCAGAAAATACCTTCTTCCATCCATAATTACAGGATGTTTATATTCTCGGACAAAGTTCTCTAGAAATTCTTTGGTGTTTGGCTATATACTTTCATGTATGGACTTCTAAAGTAGTAACATTTACGTGCCATTTACTTGAATGTCAGAACTTGTTTTTCAGGTATATCTTTGGTCACCTCAGCACGTGTTGGAATTACTTTTTGCATAATGTATGCATTTGTAAGTATCAAGGGTACAACTGTTATCTTCAGAATTGTAAATACTTTTGGACATTCATGAATTAGGATCCATAGCAGTTTATAGGCTCATAGTTTTATCCCTCCCATCCAAACCCACAAGAGATGAGAGTTTTGGTATCCATAGAAGTAAAAAAAACTTCGTTTAGAATACATATATTAAAAATAGGCAGTTCTGTTTAATCATTCGACGAATGTCACTAGGTGCACGTGTTAGGGAAAATAATGGAACTAATACTGCTTTCTGGTATATTTTACGGTGTTTTCTTCTTTTCAAGCATCTGCTCTTCTACTACTTTATTCATAGAGGAGCATGTTTTATTGTACATGTTTGGCTGGCAGCGACTAATGGACCATGTTAGTAACGTGCATGTACATTTTTTGCTGGTAAGTTAAAATGATCTCCACCCTCACACCACTACCTGTCCATCTCATCTTTCCACATGGTTTATTATGATTTGATATATTTGTTTACTTGTTGGAGGCTTTGAATACTTTGGGCTTGGATATAACCGATGTCAATGCAACTAGACATACAGGTCTGGTTTCGAACATCTTCAAATTAGAGGTATCTCAAAATCACCGTTTTGAAGATTCTATTGATACGAGATTTCCACTCTTTTTCTTTCTTTAGTTGTCACAGAAAAGGGATAGTGAAACAATTCGAGCCAATCATGTCAGGAAGTCGTTGCCGGAGTTGACGCAAAATCCATCCAGAATGTCGGCTGAGATAGATGAAACATCAGAGAATGGGAACACGGATCATGATTATCATCATCATTGCCACCTTCACCAAGACTACAGCCACCGCTCCCTCCGTAACTCCCAAATGAATTCTCACCCAGTGAAGCGCCTCTATCACCAAAGTAATAATTGGGGGCTCCTTGTTTTCATGTTTTCCTAGTGAAGCAGGTAAAGACTTGAAAACTTGTTCCACAATAAAATGAGACTAATGTAAACTCCTATGGCAAAATTCAACGAGTACCAAATCATTTGACGCGGATAAAACTGAGTTCTCCACAAATATTACTTTGTCCATCCAGGCAAAATAATATCAAAATTGCAGCGTAATTCCAACATCTTAAACCTTAAAACGAAGCAAATGCCTAGGAATTTGCTATCAAAATAATAAACATGAGAAGATTTAGATTGCCATTTCACGGCAATACACTAGAGACCGATCGACGCTGAAACATTGGGGTAAAATGCCCTCATTAAGCAGTCTCATCAAACAACAATGATTTTGAATCAACCTTGAGCTCATAAACAAATTTATTTTTAGAGTTTTAACAAAAGGAAGAGACGGGATTCTGAGTTCTAATACAAAACAGTAAAACCACAAATGCTCAAGTATAAAACCAGAACCTCATATGAGATTCAGACATGAAGGCAAAAATCCACTGTAGAGAAGTTGCCCCCTCATTATGAGAAAATGAAATGTTCTTGATGGTTATGGTGTGGCTCTGCAAGAGAGTATCCTTCAGTCCAACAAATTGCAGTTTCTCATCGCTAGAACTCATCATCATCCTCCTCAGCTATATGCTTAGCAAGCTCTTGCTCTTGCTGTTGTCTCTCCCTTCTCTTCTCTGCACTTTCCTTCTCTTTGTGGGAATTAGGAGGGAATCGAAGGGCACGAACTGCCTCATTATGCATATTTAGGCAGAAAGCAATTCTTGAGTTGAAAGCAATTTGAGGCTCATTTGTGGAGTAGATATCCCCAGTTTCCTTTGATATCATACAGCCATTAGCATGATCTAGTGTGGCATCAATTGCACCATCACGAATTGCTTTGGCTACAATACTCTCAGCATCAGCAACAGGGTTTGCAGAATCCAATTTCAGCTTTTTAGCAACATCAGCAAGTGAGATCTGGGAGTATGAGATACTGATGTTGCGGAGCCCAGTTCTAATGACATTATGGCGCAGCCTGACAATTAAATTGTTAGTACGGTCTGCACTAAAAGTGCTAGCAAACCTCTCAGCAACAGTTTTAAACAGCTTCAGATCTCCAATGCGAACAGCCTGAAAATGCAGATATTACTAGAAAAGGTCAAATGAAGAGGCTTGGGGCACAATACGCAACTTTATCTGAAAAGATTTTGTAGGCATAATGTAAACGCGAAGGATTTGCTACAGAATTTTATCGTAAAATCTATTCTGTCACCAGCCAGTAAGTTGACCGCAGCCATCAGATCAATAAGTTAACGAGTTAAGTCTAGGACTAATGTGGGATCATCGAGTCTAGGACTCGTCAATTGTAAGCACAAGTTTTCAAATTTAATACACCATACTCACATTTGTAAGCTCAAAGTATGGCCTCAAAGCTTTTTCCATCCCTTTCTGCATAAAAACAGTTCTCTCAGGAATCTCTCCCAGTAGTAAGCGGACAATAACAGCCCACTTGTTGCATTGAACTCGGAAACCAAGAGCAGAAACAGGTGCTTTCCTGGCAGCTTGGAGAAGGGACTCTTTAGCATCAGTGTACTCCAACTGAATTGTCCTGATCTTTCCAAGATAAAAGAGATACCGGCAAAACTGAAATAAATGGCAGAGAAAATGAGAATTAAGAGCTGACACCTAGATATTCAAAAGCTGAATCTGCACTGTCACGTTGATGAATTAAGAACGAAACCAAGTTATAGAAGAACAACATTCTCGCACATGCCTTAAGAAAGCCGACAGAAGCATTATAGCCAGTATGCAGATATGTCAAGTATTTATCAAGAGTTGAATCCAAAACAGCATAAGAGACAGTGTCAAATATAAGAGTATCACCACAACAGCTGGAGTGCCCAATGTTGTTGCCAAAACACCACAACAGCATCTGCTTACTACCCTAAAATCTTATTAACATTTTAAACCGTGCAAGTCCCTAACAGATGAAAACAAATTTCCTCTTAGATGTAAGACTTGTGAGGTATGCCACTATTGTCATCTCTCTGAAATAATATTACAAACAAAATTTGATATTTATGTCTTGCTATAACTAGAGATAAAGGGTATGCAACAATCTCGACTCAAATATGGAAATAAACAGTGATCTCGCCGAACAGAGAAAATAGGATAAAATAAACAGTGACTAAAAGTGGGAAAGAAATTGTGAGGAACAAAAAAATGTGTCACCCTTCAAGGAAAAAGGAAAGGAAGCATATTTCTTAAAGGTTGATGTAAAGAACTGAAGGAGCATTATGCTGAAAATTGCCTGCTGATTTGAGTGAGCTTCAAAACGAGGAGCCTTTGACCTCAGCTTCTCCGCTTGATCATATAGGTTGTATTGGAGGTAATTCCTTAACAGCAGATTAAGAAGTGTTTCCTGCATTTTTAGCATACACAGTATGAGAACACCACCACAATAACAAACTTTATGCTTGTCCAATGAGTGACAAACCTGTCCCAACTCATCATGGCGCAAAGTTGCAATCCGGTGCAAAGCAAGGAGATTACTGTTAATAAATGAGGATCTCTATGAGACATTAACATAAAAAAGGAAATCCAATTATGAGCAAGAAAAGACGGGAAAATAACATTCAACTGTTTTTGTTCCCTTTTGCTCAAGTTGTTTCAAAACATACAAAATGCATGTGTTATCCTCAGATCAGGCATCATAGGCAATGCAAGGACCTTAGAACTGGCATAAACATAAGTCATACCCACGAATTTCAGCAAGATCACCAGTGAGTTCATAGCTGAGAGAGTAGTAGAAGTAGAGTCTAGCCGCTATGACATCAACAGTTCGCCTATTCAGATTCTTTACCCGCGCAATGCCTGCCGAAGAACAAGCTTTAGCCTGAAGAACAACAAAGAGAGTTCAGAAATAGTTTCATAAGCATTACAGACATCATTAATGATATGCAAGCTATGGGAAAGCTTATACCTCACTGTATCTCTTCTGATCAATCAGATATATTAGAACAAGTAAATAGCAATAGATCTCAAGCTCTGGCAAGGAATGCTTTACAGGAACTTGAGTTGTCGATGATGCAGTATCAACTTCCATATCGTGCTCATCCTCCTACAAATTACATTGAATTTTGTAAAACATGGAACATAATACATGAGATGTAACAATAATAAATTATCCACCTAAGGAAACTTCCACATCATCTTTTATGATACAATAAATCGATGTGAAATGGTGACTACTTTAATCTACTATTCTTGCAACACCATATTAATGATATAATCCTGTTCAAGATTCTATAGGGATCTAAACTTCATAAAAAGTAATCACTCACCCATTCCACAAATTGCAAGAGATAATGAGGCTCGAGAAAATAAATTAATCTTTGTTTTATCACTTAAATTCGTGAGCATTTACAGAATTACTCTGAATATTAACTATGGTACACTGAAAAAATGACCACATAACAGTAGACAACTTGTTAAGAGCATGTAAACTAAGTTAGTGCAAAATAAGTACAACTCAGATACAGTAAATTTCAAAAGTTGTTTCTTCCACTTAATTCTCTCTTATAGAGAATTCTTGTATAAGCAATCACTTAATCAATTCATACACTACAGTTCCCCATTTTAATAGAGTTATTAATTCGAGAAAACTGTCTTGTTCACCTTGGGAAGGTAAGAAGATAGGCGAGAATGCGCTTCAGATCCCGGCACAAGCACAAAATTGAGAAATGCAGAAAGCACAGAAGCCTTGAACTTCCTCCTCAACTGAATCGTGGACCTAATCGCCCTAGCAATCCTCCGAACCTCGCGTGAATAGGCCCCCATCTCAATCAAGGACATTATCTCCTTCAATTCTAAAGAGAGAAAAGAAAAACAAAAACAAAAAATCATTACATTTAGCTACCCCAGAAAGTAAATCAAAATGAATTTAAAAATACTTACGCTGGAAAGTGGAGGGAGCAGTGGAGGGCACGGAATTGGAGGGGGCGGACTGCTCTTTCATCTCAACGTCTTGAGTCATCTTGGTAAATATCTGACAAACAAACGGAGTTAAAATCGAAATATAGAAAATGCATATAAAATCTGGGAATTCAATATTGGCTTTCCAGATTTATGGAAGCAAGGGGGAACTAGGGTTTCGATTAATTTCTTAGGGCGCAAAATAAAAAGAAAAAAATTACTGAATTTCAAATGTTAAGAAAATACGAGCTTGAATCCGAACCTGAGATTCGATGATTGTGAGATTTTTGAAGAAATCTTGGAATTCGTAGTGGACTCCGCTTCGAGTTAATCAGAAAAATGAGATTAATATCTTGAACGGCTAGGGGACTCTTTAGTCATTTCACGCATTTTTCTTATGCAGCAAGCCATTTTCTCATATCCCTTATATTTGAATTTGAGATAATTAGTCCTCTCATTTCTGATTAATACACCAACGCCTCATGTAATTTGAAAATTTTCAAAAAGCATCCCCTCAAGTTAACAGGATTAATAGAAAATCTGTTAATTCAAATATGCATATTTTATAAGGCAGTTTACCAAATAATTTCGGTTTCGGCAATGAGCTCAATAATTAGTTGTCTTTTTATTCCAAAGAGAGCAATGCTTTCAAAGTTGTTACCACTTGAAAAACCAATACACGCATCAAATCAAATTACAACATATTTGGTCGAGCTTAAAAGCTTTTTTACAGCTTTCAACTTCTGTTATCAAGAAACTGTAAGTTTGCCGCAATCAAAACTAGCTTTCTTCAACAGTGTCCCAGCCAAGAATTTAGCCAAAATATTGTCTCTCAAAAAATTCATCACTATCCCATCACTCTGTTGTATAAACCCTACCATATATGCAGTACTGATGAGATCAAAACCTCTCCATCTCCTCTCTTTAGCAAACTTTCCCAATGCTGTCTTGATCCTTTGGTACTCAATTTCTTCAGCATTTCCTTGCTTTACACTCTTTGAGTTTTCTCTCAATCCTTCAGCCAAAATCCGGGCCAAGACGACACCATCCTCTATTGCAGAACAACCGCCTTGGCCAAGGTCAGGCGTCATGGGGTGTAGTGCATCCCCAGCTACACATGCATTGTCTTTACTGATATTTCCCCATAGCAACTCCCAAGGATATCTGAATCTCAATGGTGAACACACCATACTGTTCAAATCAGTGTGCTCAAAAACAGCCTTGATATTATCAGAGACATTTCCAAGCTTGCTCCACAAGAATTGTTTCATCTTAACTGAATCTTTCTCTATATCTTTCTCTGCAAAAGTTTTTGTTACAAAATAGTCAAATTCAGTTCATTATGCATCGCAAGTTAAATGAAACCATCCAAATTTTACATTGACCTCTGTGTGAGAGCTAGTTGCAGATTTTCACCAAAAATTGAGACAAGAAATTTGCAATGGAGATCTTAGACCTCTGTCTATGTACTTTCGTATAATGGCTCCCCTAAAATCCATATAATCGAAATATGAAACTAAAGGGGTGTACTTAATTGGGACTATTAAAGATTTTTATGAACTTTCTTTTAAGTGGTGGACTTTCATGAAATTCGTGAACTTTTATAAATGTAAATGGAATTAATTAAGTCTTTTGTAATCTTCTATAAACTTTCGTTTAAAACGTCTATAGACTTTTAAGAAATTTATATGACTTTTGAAATCACATAAATATGGTGCAACAGTTAGAAGTTTTTACGTATGAAGTGGAGGTTCGATCCCCAACCCTTTCCCCTCCTCATATAATAAAAAACATTTTTAAACGAATACAAAATTCACCTTAATTAAATTAACAAATAATCAAATTACAATATTTATATATATAATTCAGTATTCTTTAATAAAAAATGAAAAATTAATGTTCAATATTATCAATAACCAAGCAATATATTTAAAGTTTTTAATCATAAATTAGTCTTTTTTATATATATAAAATTTAATTTCAAATTCATCTTTTTTGTAAAAATTGAATGAAAAAAAAAAAAGAAAGAAAAAAAATATAGGAAATTTATAATTGCAATTTATTTTTTTTCATAGAAAATGGATAGAAACAATAAAAGAGAGCTAAGAGGAAAATAGAAACAAATATAATCGGTAGAAGGTTCGTAGAAGGAACAAGAAAAGAAAAATATTAAAAAAAAATATTTGTTGAAAGTAACCTAGAATTTTGGGGTGAATGAGACACGAATTTTGAGATTACATTTTTGTACATTTTGCTTAAAAGTTAATCACTTGGAGATTTTTATAAAAATCATTGATAGACAAGTATTTATAGACTTTTAAAAAATTTTAATTGAATACATTCTGACTTTTTAGAAATTCTCTATTGTATAAAATAAATAATTTTAGAGTCTTAAAAATCTACATCTAATACTTCTAAACTTTTTAAATCACAATTGAATACACAACTTAAAATTAACATTACACTATGAATATCACATATACACCTGTAATTGCAACTCTGTTACAAGGAATTACACTTTTCACAGTATAATATCAGGAATATATGCCTGCTTCACTGCTTTGCCCCTGTTCGACAACCGTTAAATAGAAAAAAAATCATGTTTTAAATAATGATTTTTAAGAGAACGTGTGGTTAAAAAGTTAGTAATGCTATTAGCACTCTGGTGTTAAAACACAAGTCTAAGTGACACTAATGTGACATTAAGTGAGGTACAATTAAATGACTCGTTTCATTGCACCTCTCATCAAGCTTCTCACATCACGCTACCTAAACTAGCGTTATAGCACCACGGTGTTAGACAACATTATTCTTAAAAAGTGAGAAAAAAATTTAGATTTACGTGCAGAATATTTTATTGTGTTAATATGTGGTTGAAAATGAGAGTGTAGAAAAAAAAATATTGATTTCATTTTCCCATTTAAAATGCAGATTTTCAAAATAAGAGGTGTCCATGTAAGAGTTTTTAATTCATTTACCTTGGCGGGAGGAACTGTAGGTAAAAAACCAGTAAACACTATGATCATCACATGGAAGGACACCATATCTGAAACCCTTTCCAAAGAATTGGAAGAACTTTGGCTCAAAACCATGGGCAGCTTCAAAATCTAAGAAACCTCTAATGGCTGATCGCCCCACAAAAGCTGGCTTACTGAAACCTAGAAATTTCGCCACCTCCGAGTTCACCCCATCACACCCAATCAAAACCTTGTATATAATATTCAGGAAAGCAAGATCTAACTAGAGTTAATTAGTTCATTCAAAACTTGAAGTCCAATTCGGAGAAATTTATATCCCAATCCAAAGTAGTTACCTTAGTTTTGATGACAGTTCCATCTGAAAGATGAATAGACTTAAAGAAACAAGCATCCTGAATATGAACCACCTTGGAGGAATATCTAATGGTACCTCTAGGAAGTTCATTTTCCAGAATTTCCAGAAGCACCTTCCTGTTTACGCACCTGACATCATGATCCCTGCATGTAGACAACAATTTTTGAAGTAAACGAACCTATTTGAATGTTAGCAACTATGTCACAACCAATGGAAAGCTTGGTAGGTTCGGAACTTGCGTGAAATATTAGTAAACCTTAGTCCATCGAAAACTTACTTGAAAGATATTTCTGAAGTTGAAAGCCCAGAAACCACGGATGTAGTCAAAATTCTGTAGAATTCATCAAATAATATATACTTCAATCAGATCAGAAAGATAACATTCAAATAGATGACAAGAAGATGTTTGAATATATATATATGTAATTACCCACTAAGTTGGTTGTGCTTTTGACGAAGGATGTCCCCAATGCCGATAGCATCCAGTGCTTTCCATGCATTAGTCCACATTGTAAAAGCAAATCCTGTAGTTCGCAATCCATCTGATGATTCCAACACCAAACTCCGGAGTCCCAATCTACAAAACAAAGTATAACCTATCTGGTGAACCACTTCATCCCAAAAACAAAAAGGACTTTTAATATCATCCTCGTTCACAACAAGACTTGAACTCAAAACATCCATCTACTTAGATTATTTATATGAATTTACTCTTCAACGCTGATCCGTACAGCAGACTATTAACATTTTTCTTTTTCTGATATAGTATTACCTCTACTTTGTAATCTGTCTTACCAAACATTAACTGACCTAATTGTAAACATAAAAACAAACACCATAAAGGTAAAACTACATCTGATTGATTTAAAATTTAGAATTCTTATCTTATCCTACCAAGAATCAGAGTGAACATATATTCAGACAAAATATTTGTACCTGTGAAGTCCTAAAGCCGTAGTTAGACCAGCTATTCCAGCGCCAATAATCACTATGTCTTCCACAATTTCCATGATAAACTTTGACAGTACACAAAAATAGGATAGAGCAATGCAGAGTAGCCCAGAATTGGAATACGAATTTATCAGAAGTATGCATGTAGTGATAAAAGTTTTGCTTAGAATTTATAATGCCAAAGATAGGGAGATGAGGGTAATTAAGTTTTAATGACGACAGCCTATACGCACATACATGCATATATTAAGTTGAAAGGGGTCGATTTCCATATTTTTATTATATATAGGACAATAATCAGGAGAAAAAACCAAGATTTATTTTGGAAACATCCAGAACAATCGTAACTAGTGAAGGCTGTTACTCCAGCGTCTATATGCTACAAGAATTACTCTGAGAGCAAATATAATATTCAAGCTTAGCTGCTTCTGTGATTCTTTAAGCTTAGTGTTTAAATTGGTAAGAGCTTGTGGGGAACAAACATTAGTTGAAATTACATGAATTATTGTCCTCGAATTGAACAAACGTTGGAGTATCAACTATCAAGTCAAGTGACAAACGGTCACCTAAATAAGATTTTACTGCAAGTTCAATAAATAAAAAAATGAAACTTACCCAAAAAGAAATTTAACGATGCAGACAAACACGTGAAGAGTGACACCGATAATTCGGAAGTTATATTGGGAGAAATCCTTCGGTACATGTTCAATCTTCACAATAATGTCATATCCTAGACTATTTTATATGGTCAAATGAAATCCTTGTGCAGAGATTAAAAAAATTTACAATCATAAAGGAAATCTGGCATCTCCATACATTGCTAGTTACCCTAATTCCTAAGCATACTCGATAACAAATGAAAATTAAGGTGAAAAATAAAGGTATATATAGAATTCATGTAGGGCATATATTTCAAATCCAAATTCATTCATAGCCAAAATACAAAAGTAATTGCAAATTTCCAGTCAGAACTGAAAATTGATCTGCATAATATGATGCCTAGATCACAAAACTAACCGAAAAATAAAATACACAAGGAGGCAAATCATTAACTTAAAGCTACAGAGCAAGCTATAGCCCTTGCGGTATTTGGTGTTTAAAACCAACAAAGCCAGATAATATCGACTCGCATCTAGTCCAGTCCATCACCCTAGCATAGGACAAAAAGCCACCAAGAAAGGGGATAACATTTGTGATCTTTTGCAACTGCACAAGAACCCCCAAAAGCCATCTGCAATTTCCACAAATAGTCTTTCATCTGCTATTGAGGAAATTTATCCTCGTAATTCTGGGGAAGCTGCACAAGAAGAAAAATTTCAAGCTAATGCCCAATTTCCAAGTGAATTAGAGCAGAAGCCTTAAGAAGTTAAAACAAGAAACGGGGTTTTACCAAAAATGTTGCAGTGATCATTTTCCCAGCAAACCATCTCCCATGGAGCGCCTGCTGTGCAGCAATTGCAGATTGAGTATTTTCAAACCGCAAATATACAAACCCAGCAGTATTCCTATTTGTCAAGAAGGGTGTTAGTACAATGCACGACAAATTTAAACCAAGGGTAAGTTTTTGGCAGATTATTTCCAGGGGTAAGCTCAGAAGATTGTGGCAGTTTGAATAGCACATAAACTTACTTGTCTACATAAATATGCTTTAATGTTCCGAACTTTAAGCATTCATCTTGTACATCTTCTTTTATATCCAGATCAAAATCTGGTTCAGTCTGCAAAAAAAATGCATCTTGAATGACACTTGACAGTAGAGATAAGCAAGGAAACAAAATTTGTTCAACAAACCTCCAATTTTGGATCAAACATGTTCTTTAGTAACAAACATTCACTAGGAACAGAAAGACATGCAGCCGCCAATTCAGAAAGTGCAGGGGCAGGAGCCTGTCCAAGACTAATATGGGAAGGAACTATAGAAACAGCGCCAAGAACTGGTCCTGTTGGCAAGGAGAGGCCAGGGCTATTAACAACGGGGGTGCCTAATGCACCTGCAATGCTGCAAACATGATAGGTGTAAGATAAAATAAAAGCGTTCCAGAAACCATAAGAAACAGGAAGATATTGAACCTTGAAGCAGTGCCTGTGCGATCCAATTTCTGCATGAGAAGCGCTCGAGAATGTGCATTCAAGGACTGCAGAGGTCAGCATTTTTCCAGTGAAATGAGACACAAAAATCACAAGGTCAAGAATGAAGAAAACATGAAAAAATTAGATAATACATAAAAGAGATTATGTGCACACTGCAATAAAAGATATTATATATGAAATATTCAGAAAAAACGATAGGTTGGGAAGTTATTCAATAAACTATAAAATATTACTCGTATAAATATTTCCAGTAAAAGACAAACTTTTCACACTGAAATGACAAAACTATACATGCAAATGCATAAGAACTACTTAACCAGTTTCTCCTTTGTTTCAATGAGGCCATGATATAATTGAGAAGAAGTTCTAGACAATGGATAGGAATCTCGCCTTGTGGCCAAGCCACAGTTTACATGCATATAAAAAAGATCGAAAAGGAGCATCATCAAAGGACCATATATCTCAAGAATATGATAGCTTGTATTGTATCATTTGTATGCATGTGTACTTTATTTTCCTTCTATCTAGAACCGAGGCCTGATGCGCAATTTCAGAACAATATCGATGTTCATAAATGGATTTCAATAGAAGCTTCTACGAATTAATATTTTATGTACGGACATCCAGAATGTATTTGATCTTTGCATCTCCATTTTGGGTAACGGTCATAATATCGTATTGTCTATAGGGCAAGGGAAGCTATCATAAGCGGATAGAGAAAAGAAAATATGGGTTAGGGCATATGCTAATACTCCCCTAATAATTAGGGACTAACCAATCCATTGCCTTCAATATCATCAAAATCAGCAACATTTGCTCCAGCATCTTGCATTGCAGCTTGATCCGTAACAGCAGAGACCTAAAAATTGAGAAAAGAGAAAGATATAGATTACCAACATAAGCAAATCTAATCCAAGAATTTCTGGTAGAATCAGATAATTTTACCCACACACACAGTGTGCAAGCAAAAGAGGATAAAATAGAATAATTTACCAAGATAGAGGATAACATGTCAATATGTAAAACTTAAGAAAATTAAATAATTTAAAGCTATGCCTTATAAGATAAACCATGCACGTAAACTGTTCAAAACATGATATATCAGAGATGGACATGCTTCGATTGTAGTAGAAATTTAGAACTCGAGAATGTATAAAAATAAAAACAAGACGATGTTACATCTAAGATTTGAGATACAAAATCTATCAAAAATAACTTAGAAGAAAGAGATTTCTAAGCACGTCTAAATCAACTATCCAGTGATGAAGCAATTAACTATGTCAAAATCAATACGAAATACCATCGATTGCATGCACACAATACGATCAATTTATAGTTAACATGTAGACGTCCCCGACTTGATAGACCGCATCCATAACCTTCTCTGACCAAAGTAACGTCCCTGAATTGATAGACCACATCCGTAACCTTCTCTGACCAAAGTTTCCACAGCAATTCCTTCCCAGCTAACTATTCCTTTATAATACAAATCCAGCAACCATCAATACTATTGGGTGACAGTTCTCCTTACCGGTCAAAAGTTAGCTCAATAATACCTAAATACACTTTGGACCACAAAAAAGAGGCTATACTCGAAATGAGACCATTTCATAACAGAAAATAAAGGTCTATGACAACTTTTATACATCTCCCTTGGAAGTAATTGCATAAAAATGAGATTAATGTAGTATAGGAGTTGATGGCAGAAGAAATAAATTACTGAAAGTTTCATTACCTTGATAACTCGACCTGCAATCTCCAGTTGCCCATTTAAATTTTGTGCAGCCTTGGCATCTTCAAGACGTGCAAACTGCAAGGGAACTATGTTATGTATGCATTCATCCAGAAGTTGCAAAGGTTATCATGGAATCTAAATTCAGAACTACTGTTATCTCATGCAATATCACGTCTGACAATCATTGTTTCTTCCCCAAAGCAGTTTTTCTTAGCAAGTAGAACAGCAAACTAAACAAACTGTCCTCAGAATGCTTATATTAGAAAATATCAAACTCACCTGTACAAAACCATAACCTTTGCAATTGGCAGTTTCAGGATCAGTGGGCAGCTGCACCAACTCCACAGAGCCAAAAGCTTCAAATACCTAAATTTTATATCAAATATATGAATCTCTTTCTTGTCAAAAAGGAGACAGGTCAAGATATGAAAAAACGAAAGGAAAGAAACCTATAAATATCTCTATATTCCACTCATCACCATTTTAACATCTTCTCATAACCTCATAAATATACTACCTGACGAAGTTGATCTTCTTTTATGGTAACAGGTAGATTGCCAACATATAGCTTTCTATCTTCCGAAACAACAGATATAGTAGACTGAACAAGGTTCTTTTCAGCTTCTGATGGCTTAACCATCACTGGTACACCAAGTAAAGGCTGACCAGAAAGTGCTATTGCCATAGGAACTGACATTGCATCATAAAATTCAATATACCTGCAGAAGTAGCAATAGAGATTACTCATTTTCAACCACACAATTCATGGGATCCAGAACTTTTATCAACTTTTCAACCACACAATTCATCAATTTTTATTAAGATCTAGTGAAAAACTGATTTTTAGCTAAACCAAACATGGGTGAAATAATCTTACAGGGAAAATTCACCAATAACACTGGTCAAACACTGCTCATTTTTTTGGCTAAATCATTTCCCCTAATTATATCTCAGTTGTCTCTGTACTTTTCAACTTTGATGTTGAATTCCAGGAAATGCATCCAAGAGTTAACAAGGTTATTATGGTCACACTAAATCCACAAATTTTATTGCAAGACATGATAGTACCATTCTCATTGTCACGAATTCTGCTCACTCCCTAATCCTGTGAAACATTGTTCAAAGATACTGTTGCTTGACCATAAAACTTTGTCGAGATGTCAATTGATGAATCAAAGTAACAAGGGCCACATCTTTGGAAAAAAAAATGTATACACATAAATATATTCACGT